GAGGTTTCTCCAATCTCTGGACAAATCTCCACTGATGTGGGAACTACAGCCAGTCTCCTCTTCTTGACCGAAGAGGAGGCAGGCTAGGGAGAAATCTTTAAAATATACCTCTAAAGTTGAGTGAGGTAGTATATGTCCATAGTCCCAACACTGGGGAGGTAGAGGCCAGAGGACTTAGAGTTCAAGGTCATCTGAAGTGGAAACTAAAGGGTTCTTTGGAAAGTCGGTTGGATGGTGTTTTGCTGGGGCAAACACGTGAAGGAATGGTTTGTTTAAGTGGACACAGGTGTGAAAGGCTAAGGCAGAGTTGTGCAGGAAGGTTTAGCTGAAGCAAACACAGGAGAGAGGATGTTCTACTAAAGCAAGTACATGAAAGGACACGTGATGAAGGACTCTTTGCTAACAACACAAATGTATTGGTCCACCTTACATTGCATAGTTCAGCTGCATTTGTCAGGACTCCATAGAGAGAAACACACCAAAAAACTTCTGGTGTGCTGCAGTTTGTTGTGCTGCAGCTTCCAAGAACTCAGGCCAATTGGATATACATGCTGAAGCAAAACCTGTGCTGAGGCAAAACCTGGCTGAGACAAGGCACATGGAGGACACGTGATGTTTGGAGGGTATAAATAGGACTCCATGGAGTGACAGAGACAGAGCTCGGCTTGCTGGCACAGCTAGCTGTGCAGTGCTTGTGGGTCTCCCATCTTCACTGCTCTTCGCTTCTCTGAGAGGCACAGCTGAGAACTTTTGGTGTCCTTCTGGGTCCCTCCTGCTGACTGAGCCAAGCTTGAGCTGAGGCCCTGCTGTCTCTGCTCAGTCATGTCACTGCTGTTGCTAACCTGAGTCTATAGAACTGGACTGCAGGTGTAGCTGTGAAGTGTCTGTGAGTGGATCGAGCTGCTGCTGCTGACCTTTGAACTGAACTGACAGTTTCCAGACAACACAGATGGGAGTTGCTCCAAAGAACCTTTCTAAACAGGTCCACTTCTTCCCGCACCCCCAGTATCCTTTCTTTTCCACTACCTCTAGTGTGTGGTGGGCTACAAGGGAGGTTAAAGCATTTAAGCTGGAGAGATGGCTCAGCGGTTAAGAGCACTGACTGCTCTTCCAGAAGTCCCGAGTTCAATTCCCAGAAACCGCATGGTGGCTCACAACCATCTATTATAAGATCTGATGCCCTCTTCTGGTGTGTCTGAAAACAGCTACAGTGTACTCACATAAATAAAATAAATAATCTTTAAAAAAAATAGGATTTGAAAAAAATTAAAGTTATAGTCATCCTTGGTTATTAGCCAACCTGAGTTAGATAAGACCCTGTCTCAAAAACAAACCAAAACCACAAACTACAACTACAAAACCCAGAACAAAAACCAAAAACAACCCCAAATTAAAATACCACAACCATGCCTGCAAAAAAACCACTTAGGCAGATGACCAGACGTCCTGAGCATAGTCACAATTCCCTTCCTGTTGTCACCTGGTGGCTCAGTGTGCTTTTTCTTAGGTTTATACCCCTGCCTGACAGGTGAAGGGCTTATGACTTTTGCTAGGAACATGGTAGCCCTCGATAGAGGGACAGTTGCAGAGCTGAGAGCTTCAGTTCTGGGCTTGGGTGCCTGCTTCTCAGGGAAGCAATGGTCAGATAATCTGACACAAGTGGAAGGTTGTAGATTTGTGATGAGCCAGAAGTGAGATTTTCAGAAAAGTCACTGTGGATTAACCTTGACCAACCATGCCCATTTGTCACCCTGGCTGCTTGCGGAGTTCCCTCCTATCCTGGTTGGTCTTTCCCAGGGGTTGGCTGCTGGGACTCGGGGTGGGGGTAGAGGTGGAGTGGAGTAGCCGGGTGCTGTGTTTAGATCAGTTTGCCCCCGCTGCTCTTACAGGAAGTCACCATGGTGTTCAGGAGTCATTACTTAGTCATTACTGGCAGCCACCACTTCCCATAGTGACCTTAGCTGGATTCATCTCACCCCATGAGCAGGGTGATTATGAGCACCCGCTGTGAGAGGGGACAGGGTGGTCACACTGAGGCTGGGAGTGTGTGACTTTTCTCCTTGCTGTGACAATGCCTGACCAAAGCAACTTAAGGAAAGAAAGGTTTCTTTTGATTGAGTCTAAAAGTCCAGTCTGTCATGGTGGGGAGGGTGTAGAGGCAGGAGCATGAGATGGCTGGTCACATTGCATCTGCAGTTGGGAAGCACAGATGAGTGTCTATGCGGATGGATGTGTCTATATTTATAAGTGTACGTGGGTATCAACTTTGACCCACTAACATCCATCTTATAGGCACAGTGCTAGCTCAGGCCTGCATGTAGCCCCGTGCCCGTACTAACTGCTTAAAGGTCCGCCCAGCTTCCTGCACTCAGTTCTCAAGCAGTGCTGTGGCTTCTCAGGCTTGGGGTTTAACAGCACAATCTGCAAAAAGCACAGACATGTGAAGAATGTGGCTGTGTGGGCTCAGACACTTGTCTAAAAAGCCCACACAAGCCAGGCAGTGGTGGCACACCTTTAATCCTGGCACTCGGAAGGCAGAGGTGAGTGGATTTGAGTTGAAGGCCAGCCCGGACATAGAGAAATGACGCTGTCTGAGCTCAGCTCTGTGAGGATGTCACAGGACACTCACACTCACTTTGACCCATGAATGACTGCAAAGGTATTGGGTTGGGATTTCAAATACATCTTAGTGAGGGAGATGTCAGATGACTGATATACTTCTGGGACACGCCCACTGCTACTTCTCAGCCTGCCCTAGGACATCCCACCTCACCCTCAGCTACCTCAGTGTCCAAGGACCGACAGCTCTATGATCGGTGGGCTTGTCTGGAAGAGAGCAGAGCTGCCCCTCTGAGTCTGTGTCTAGGGGTAGGTCAGTACCTTCCAGCCTTGGATACAGTGTGGAAAGGGTGAGAACTCCCTTATGGAACTTGGAAAAAGGCTCAAGACAAAGCCCAAGACAACCATGCTTCCTCTTGCAAGCACCCTGGCTCAGCAGCCCCCTGTGGGATTGCCAGGCCACTTTCTGGCCATTAATCTGAGTCCTGCAGGAGCAGTTGCATTAGCCCAACTTAAACCCCAGCTGGGCCCTGGAGGGCTGGAAGTGGGCCTGGGAAACGGCAGTGGAGAGCCAGCTGGAGCTCGGGCTCCTGGGTGTCTAGTGGCTCTTGGTCTGGGCACTGCAGCATACCATCTGTACTCCTGTGGGGCCATAGAGCAGATACATGGATGATCACCATGTAAGAGGGTCCCACTAACTCCTAAGACTAGTCAGGCCAGGGGCAGGGATGGAGGTGCGTTTCTTGGAGGATGGAGAACTACTCACTCCAGTTCCAATTTAGATGGGGCTGGTTCAGTTCAGCAGAGGTCCTGCTGAATCCTGATTGTGGGCAGAGCCAGCGTGGGTTTGGCAAGGTGGGTGTTGGGGGAGCCCTCTGCAGACCAGGCACCGCCCAACCCTAAGCACCAAACAGACCGCCCTCCATGATGACCATGCAGCTTTCTTAATGGAACACAACCGCTGAACTTGGTACATTTCAAGCACTTTAGCTTTCCAGGACAGCAGACTGCTGATGGAAACCATCTTCAGAGGGCGGGCGCCATGTTAATGAGAGGCCAAATTTCATATGCTTGCAAACTTTCCCCCCTGCGGCCTGCAGCTCTGCACACCACCCCCCCAACAGAAGATTGCATCAGAGGGAAAGAGAGATTTCCATAATTTATAGTACAGCATTTCACTGGGGACAAACGCTAATCTGTACTTACCGATACATTTAAGAAAATGCATCCTCCTGCAAGCCTGCGCCATTTATGACTCTTGGCACAAACCGCAATGCTCAGTCTTCAATTAAGGGACACCTTAGGGTTCATTATCACACAATTGCTCCCTGTGAACCATGCCAAATGCTGTTTTGGCACTGAGCTTGGAAGATGAATTAGAAGGAAGTCTTCCCTGTAATGCCCCCTCCAACTTGCATTACCGCCATCAGCGCTGCTGCCCTTGCGGCTGGCCCTCCCCCTCCCCAGTGGCTTTCACTATTCAATTTCTCAATGTCAAACTCGATTCTCTAGAGGTGTAGTTAAAGATGCCACATCTCCTTTTTGTCTTCCGGCTCTCAACAGACCTCAGTGTGGCCCAGATGGGACACTCTCCACCCCATTTTGGGCTAAAGAATCCACAGATGTGTCTCTCACTTTCAAGAGTGTGGTGGAGGCAAGGCACACACACCCACACCATAAAGAGGGTTCTGAGCAAGGACTAATGGGCCTGTTGTACATTTTCTGTCTAATGGGCCTAGTCTCTCTTTCTATATATACCATATATACACCACAAAGAGGGTTCTGAGTAAGGACTGGTGTCTACATTGGGTCAATTCCATAGTATGTAAGTACACGGTGAAGGCTGAGCCAGGCAGATGCCCTGGTAAGAAACTAAACTTCAAACCAGTTGCTTTCAGAGAACAGCCAGCAAGGCTGCCTCTACCGGTCCAGGTCCTGTGGTAGGCCTGCAGTAGGTGGGGGTATTCTTTGTTTTCTTGAACAAAAGAGATATGTCTGCTGCTGTCTCAGAGTCCTCCCTGAGCCTGCTGGGAAGATCCACCACCCACCAGAGCCACAGGTGAGCAGGCCTGGAGGATGCAGCAGGCAGGGAGGCAGCCGAGGAGTACACATAGGGCAGGGCTGGTATGTTTTTAGGTGGGAGCATGCCACCTAAAAGTGGGGGTGGGTGGGTGGGGAGGGTCTCAGCTCAGTGCGGTGCTGACCCCACTGGCTTCCCTGGATACCACACCTCTCTCAGGCCCAAGAAGAATTGTTCTCACTCACATGCTGTCACAGGAAAGGCTGGTCCTTAGAGTGGCCCTTAAGTGTAAAGCTACCTTATAGAACCAGCTTAACTTCAGAAGTCCCCAGAGGCTGTGTAGCACAGAGTTGGGCTGAAGCAGGGCATCACCAGCTAGGAAGGGCAAGAGTCAGGGGCCGGCAAACAAGACAGACTAACAACACTTTGCCCACAAGATATCTTGTGGAAATTTTATTATATAGAGTGTAAAATGAATTGTCAGTCAAATAAAAAGAACACCTTTAAAAAACAACAACATGCATACCATTTCCAATGCCTTTTTAATAGTTAGACATTTCAAGCTTTGTAAGGAAAACAAGAACCGCAAACTGCAACAAGCGCGTTTCAAACGGAATGTTCCTCAGGTCAATTCAAAATGCAAGAAAAAATAGCTTCAATTCCGTTTTTTGTTTAAAAATACATGTTATCTGTACAAGATACACTACAGTAAACACTGGAAATCATATTACCCCTTTCATTAAACCAAAATTATTTAACTCATTCTGTGGTTAATACTAGATTTATTTATTTACCTAGTTAATTTGACAAATATTAAGAAAATATTTAAGGAAAAAGCAAAAAACACCCTGGAATTAAAAAATAGTTACTACATTTTTTTATATGGTTTAATGTCCACAGTGTTTGTTAAAAGTTATATTGAATTTCTTTTTAATATTAAAAATAACAGTATTTATATTTCTGAGAATAGAGAAAGGCTTTTTGTTTTTAAAACCAGCTTGGAGGTCTTAGACACACAACTGCCCCGGGTAATGGAAACAGGCAGCTTACAAGAAGGTAGACTGCGTCTCTGCATCACCATCAAAACGCTAGAAATGACACAACCCACAAATGACCCCTCCCACAACACAAGGACCCGTCTCAGTTCAAAATTCACATCATTAATTACAATACATAATAGTTCAGTTTTTTAAAAAAATGCACTAAAACCAGACAGCCAAGATACGAGAAATTAGAGGTGAAACACTTAATGAATTTACATTTACGAATATTTAAATACTGCTTAAAAATTTTTTAAAGAATTTGTTACATTACCACCTAAGACTTCCAAGCCATTTTTTCTGTTGTAACAAAAACCAAAAAAAACCAAAAACAGAAAAAAAGAGAAAAAAAAAAACCAACAACAACAATAACAACAACAAAAAAACCACCCAAACTGTAAATAAAAAGACACAAGACAAACCCATCATTTATGAAATGGCAGGCTCTGAGGAGAGCTCCCGTGATGAACTAACTGCCAGGCTCTGAGGAGAGCTCGGCACCTGAGCTGGCAGGTTTTGCTCCAAGAGCTCCAGAGCTTACACATTTACAAAGAAATCATGACACAAAAATTACCAGCAATGTTTAGTAACTCATTTTCCCGATTTTTAGAAAATTTCTGTTAATCTAAATATAGTGTTTCACAGAACAAAACAAAGGTCTTCATCGAAAGGTTTGCAAATCTAAAAATCTCTGTAACAAACAGGTTTCTCTCACACTGATTTCGGGGAAGAGCCGCGGCAGATGCCCATCTACTGCTCCTGTGGGGGGAGGGAGAGGGTCAGCCCAAGACCAGCACCTCACACCGGATACTGGATGCTAAGCACCTCAGGTTCTAGGGTCAAGATGGGGGGGGGGGGGTGTAAGGGGATGGCTTCTCTTGGGTCACCAGGCCTAATACCAGCTTCCTACAAGGCAAAGGTGCCCTATCAGGAGCCCTGACCCCAAGGAGAGCCCCTTCTTGGCTGAGGACTAGATAGAGCCCTCTAAGTTCCTCACAGAAAGAGGCCAAGTTGGCCCTCCACTTGCTTGGCCCCGAGGGTGCTGTCCCCCAGCCTGGCCACTCTCTGCAAGAACTACTGGAGTGGGCCTCATTCACTGCAGACCCAGCACACACACTATAGTCGGGGTCACTAGGCCCGGAGCTAGAAGGAGAACAGCATCTGATCGAGCTCAAGGGTTAGGAGTGGAGGGACAGAGGAGAGCCCACAGGCTCTCCTGGGACTAGCCTGGGACTAGGCAAGCTCAAAGGCTGGGTGGCATCATGGTGCTGGGGACTGGCTACAGACCTGGCTGTGGGCCTGAGCCTGCCCTAAAGTCTGCCCATAGAAGGCGGCCTGCTGCCTGTAGTACTCAGCCCAAGCCATCGTGTAGTCTGGTGGGGAGCTGGCCTGTGGGGCAGCACTGGTGGTATGACCTGGAGGACAAAGAACAGACAAGAGTTACGGAAGGGGAGGGTGTGGGAAGTCCTTTCTCAAGCATTACCAGCCTCTACCAAAGCCCACCTAGAGGCTACACTTTCTAGGACTACACTGCCCAATCTGCCTGCCAGCAACTCTGGATGCCAAAGAATCAACAGCCAGAGCGGGGAGACAGTGCAGTGTAGCTTTCAGGTGGGGCTAGGGTGAGGTAGAGCCGGTGTTAAATAGGCCCCAAGCCTCAGTGATGAGACCACCTTGACACCTGCCTGTCAGTCACCAGTGCAGCTAGTGGCCCAGATATGATTCTGCCCCCAAGGCCAAGCAGCTTTAACGTGGGCCTTCCAATCTGCAAATGATAGTTCAAGGTGTGAGGTGTTGCCAGGGAGGACTGGAGAGATGGCTCAGTGGTTAAGAGCACCGACTGCTCTTCCAGAGGTCCTGAGTTCAATTCCCAACAACCACATGGTGGCTCACAACCATCGGTAATGGGATCTGATGCCCTCCTCTGGTGTGTCTGAAGACAGTGCACTCACGTACATAAAATAAATAAATTTTTTTAAAAAAAAAATGTTGTCAGGGAACCCTACACTAGACCCAGAAATGGCTTAGACCTGAACATGCCAAGGCCCTCTGCTAAGACAATCACCCTGGGGGCATTTTTCATTTGGCACGAAAATCAGTTTCAAGCTTGACTCGGTTCCTGGTATTATAAGGAGAAATGGACTCCAAAGGTACTTCACTGGTACCAGCAACCAGTGAAGTGGTAGCCCCATTCTCTGCACTGTGACCTCTTGCCTGCCCTGACATGGCCCCCAATGACTGAGGACAGACAATACACCCAGCAGGCACTGGCCACATCTGGCTTCCTCTGACAAGACACAGGGAGAGACAAGGTGGGCACCTAGACACAGCCCCAGAGAGGGTGTCAAATAAACCAGGTGGCCCTGGACAGCAAGGCCCATAGCTGGACAGCACATGATGGACTGCTGCACTCACTCTGCTTTTTGTAATAGTCCTCCCAGGCCTTGCTGTAGTCGGGCTGGCTGTTCTGTGGCTGGCTCTGCTGGCCTGTGCAGAAAACAGACAGCAGTCAGGCCTTGCTCATCAACCCCCACCATGGCTCACTTCAGCCCCAGTCAAGTCAGTTTCAACCAAGGCCAAAGCCTTCTTAAACTCTGAACCTAGGTCCTCATGGACAGGGTCCAAATGGCGCTGACACCTCATGAGACCCACAAGCTCCACTGTGCCTCTGGACGAGAGAGGTTAGGAGCGGAGATTCCCTGTATAGAACCTGACATGAAGTCCTGACATAAAGTCATAGACCTGGGGTTTGAAGCCAGAGACCCTGTGCACATGTGTGATGGTGCACATGTCACTGGCAGAAGTAACAGGCCCACCTGGGACCCTGCCTGGCCTGGCCTTTCTGTGTGGGAACAGCACAGAGGCCTAGAGGCCTCCTTCTCCACTGTTGTCAGGGGAGACAAGAATGAGGAGACATCCAGTGTCAAGGAAAGGCAGCATTAGGCTTGGGCAGATAACAAGGCAGAGAGGTCAGGAACTAGCTCACCAAAGCCCCTCACCACTTATCAGAGTGAATGTGAGGCAGCCAGAGGCATGTGAAGACCATGCCAATCCACACAGCTCAGCAGACTGCCTGCTATTTTTGCCATGCTAATTAACTGAAGACCAATGGAGGGGTAGGGGACAGGTGCTGCACTGCAGCAAGTAACAGCTTCTGTTTTCTTCCCTGCAACATAGGGTGTGCACAGCACCGTGCCTGCACAGGTCCTGACCTGTACACAGGCACGGCTCAGCCACACAGCTGGAAGCAGCTAGTCTGTCTTGCTTCTTCCTGTTTACCACCCATACCAAAGCCAACCAACTAGGCTTCGGGTTCTGCTGGGCCCTGACTCTTAAGTGCACCCTCTGGGGAAGTGGGGAGGACCTTTCTTCCCAGGGGTATGTTTGGGAGCAACGGGGCAACAGGATCACAAGCCTGCCATCCTCTCGCCTCTTGGAACAGTATCCAGGAGCCCAGCACTTGGAGAACGCTACTTCCAAGGAGGCAAGGAGACAGCAGAATGCTCGGGAACCCAGTACTACCAGCTTAGCAGAGCAAGCCTGCTCAGTGTGACGTAGTGTGGACCCCAGCACCAGCAGGTACTCCCTGGGAAGCACCCGTCAGAGCCTGACACTGGAGTCATCAGAGCTGAGGGAGAAAAGGGACCAGAATGGCTGAGTTACAGAGCTCATGACACAGCTCAGCTGCAGTCTGAGAAAGGCAGAGCAGAGCCTGCTGGGCCACAGTGGACATGGAGAGGGACTCAAGACTGTACAAGACCCTCCTTGTAGCGGCTCAGCAGAGACAGTTGTTTCTGAGAAGTCTAGGTGACAGAAAGTGCCCTTTTCTAGGTCACTGGCAAGAAGTTGCCTTGACACAGGAGATAAAGTGAGGGCCCTCAGCAGGCAGGAGGCTGCTCAGGAAAGCAGAGGGCAGAGAAGCTCTTGGTTGGAGCTTAGCCTTAGAAATGGAGACGGGAAGGAGAGAGCCTTGTCAAACCACAGCAACTGTCATTCCCAGCCCCACCCCAGTTCTGAGGAGGTCAGGTGAGCCAGGGAAAGCAGCCTCCCCTTCTGTGCCTTTCCCACTGCCTGGGTCTTCTAGGTCCCCATCTCTAGGAGTAGACCTGAGCAACTCACCCCACCCCACCCAGCTGCCTGGCTCTGTGGGCATCAGCCACCCTGGTGTATATCCTCACACCTTGTGGGTCACTTACTTGGGACTTGTTGTGTAGGCTGCTGCCAAGCCTGGTAAGTGCTGCCCCAGCCTTGGGTCAGAAAAGCTGGAGGGCCACTGTGGGTGACAGAAGAATCCTTTGAGACAGTGCCGGGCACAGAGTTCTCCCCCTTTACTGTTTTGCCTCCCTCACCCCCACTACTGGCAGACGGACAGTTAATCACCTACCTCACAGGGGTGCTGTGGGGGTTCCCGTTAACTTTAGCAGCGATGTTGGGGAAGCCCCTGGGAGGGAAGGTGCTGTAGGGAAGGGAGGAGCACTGTTGATCTGCAGGAAGGGCTGGCTGCCCCCTCAACCCACTCCCCTCTCCCCAGGCACTGTGCTCCCTTGGGAAGACTGTGACTGGAAACCCCTGAGCTCTGGGCTTTACCCTGACTGGTCAGCAATCTATAGGACAGAACAGAGAGAGGAAAACACTGCGGTCCCCACCCAGGACTTGGATTAGCACTTCAGAGGAGTTGGACTAGGAAGGTTAGACGGGCAATGAACCTTCCACCAGGACGGAGGCAGAAGACTCACTTTTGATGCGGTGCAGCGGGTGGCTGGCTGAAGGGGCTCTGTCCGAAGGCCGCAGGGGCTCCAAGGCTGGCACCCTGTGAGGGCACAGAGGAGCTCTCATCTGTGTCGCCGAGTCACACTGCCCTCTGCCCAGGCCCACCCAGGGAAGCCACTATGGGAGGCAAGTCAAGTGAAGGAGACAGCTCTGCGCTCACACTAGCTTCCTTCCCCAGCAGACAATGTCTGCAGTGGTGGCTCTGCCCCTCAAATGACCAAGACCACCACACAGCCAGTCCTGGCACCACCACGATTGCCCTTGCATGTCACCCTGGGGGAGGACCAACCTGCTTGACTCTCCCGTCAATTTAGGCTGGCCCAGGGCTCTTTCTGCCATTCTACGTCCCCATTGAGGTGAGCAGTGGCCCATCTGTCCTCCATCAACACTCCCTTTCTTTATCTGCTTTGAGGTGCCTGAAACTAAAGCCAGAGTCAATGAAAGCTGCCTGCAGGGCTGGTGGCCAGGGTGCTGCCTGAGGGAGCCTGGGGCAGTGCTGGGGGAAGGCTGCTTTCCCACAGCTCATCTATGCCTGCAGGGACATGGCCAGAGGTCTGACTGCTGAAGCCCTGGCAGTCAAGTCAGAGACTTCTCTCATTGCATCTGGGGCCTGGCACTCCCTGAGCCTTGGACTTTCCTTTGGAGAGGAGAAGAGGCTGCCCCCACATGATGCAAGGATGGAAAGGCACAGGAAGCACAAGGTTCTGGGGGAAAGCAGGTACCTTGGACATCCAAAAGCAAATCCAGCTAGTATAAGCCAGGTGGGGAAAGGCCCGTGTACGTACGCCAACTTTCTCATCTATGAGATGCCTGGCCACCTCGATCTGCTGAGGAGCACCCCTGATGGTAAATATCCGCAGGTTAGGGTCGGTGTTAGGAGGGGGGTTCCGCTGAAGTTCCACATGGGCACCTGATTGTTGGTTGATGCTTTTGATGTTCTCGCCCCCTGCAGGCAGGAGATATGGTTGATTAGACCAGAGGTGACCCAGAGTCAGTGGCCTATGTTTAGGAGAAGCTGAAACGCACATGCTAACACTTGCCCACAAACAGTCACTCTGTTCTGCTTACTGCACATAGGCCCTGACAAAAATCCAGGGCTTCTTGTGGGCAACACTAGCCATCTGGAGTCAAGATGACTGTTGGAGCTGGACTGAAGCCTCTGTGGCCACAGGGCCCCATAGAAGGGTCCGGGCCCAACTGCTGCAGGCCACTGAACTCATTTCTGCCTGCCTTGAAGTCCACCCAGGAAAGGCTGACCCTCCTCAGTGTAAGAATGGAGACCTGATGGCCCTACCATACACAATGGGGGCCTTCAGCTTGGGTAGGGGCTGCCCTCCCTCCACAGGTCAAATGGGCGGCTACAGACCAACAATGCCTGGAGCCCACTCTGGTCTTCAATATTACACCCTGTTCCCTCTCAGGTCCCCCTGCCTTGGTGGGGGGATGGGTCCAGACAGAAGCAGTACAGAGGGGGAGGAGACAGGGCATATGGCCTAGATGGAGCGGGTGATGGAAATTTAGTTGTTCTCTCTGAAAGCCGGCAAGACTCAGCCTCTTAATGAAACATGTGTAACAAAAACTCCACTAGCCAGTGAACAATGACCCATTCTTCTGAAATTTCACAGAACTTACAGATCTATTGCATCAACTCTCTGGGAATAGAGTACTCTCAGAATACAAGGAAAACCTGGAGCACACGCTTTACAAAACTGCAGAGAACATGTTGGAAGGTCTGGTGTAAGGGGAGCAGGGAGCCCCACGAGCCCCAAAGCAGAGACCATGTGGTAAGTGTTGGGCTGCCCCTGCCCATTTCCAGTCACACCCAGCTTGAAATGACAGGTGTGCATATCCCAGAACTCTCCTTCCGCACTCCACCCTTCTCTACTGCCTCAGCAGATGAACGTTAATCTAAGCACACCACCAAGGGAGGGAGGCAGCTGAGGAGGAGAAAGAGCAGGGACAAGCTCTGACTTTAGTTCATCTCAAAAGGGTCAAGGAACAAAACTGGAGGGGAGTCCTGGTGACCATTCCAGGTAGTCGGGCTGACAGTGAAGTGTTTTCTGTATGCCCAGTGTAGCTCCTGGGTCCTCTTCTCAGAAGCTAAGGCCTTCATCATCTCTGCCCCATGAAGGGTAAGCTATTTTGTTCCCAATCAAGATTTGGATGCAATGAGGAAGAAAAAAGCAGAGAGCATGTCCACAGGCACTTGTACGTGTCTAGGCTCAGTAGTCCCTGGCAGCAGGCAAGAGTAAGTATGCCTGAGACTGACACCGGGCAGCCCCACCTTAGCCAGGCCAGCAGCCCAAGCCGCTCTGCTGGGAGGCCTCAGGAGCATGGCGATCGGACACGGAGGCACTGCAAAACTGCATACGGCCAGAAGGAGTTAATTTAAGTTCATCTTCCTTCAAAATGAGGTCACTAGTTTGGCACATGGTGGCTGTCTTGGACTCATTCAGCAGCCTGATCCATTCTTCCACCTGATGGGGGGCAGAAGTGACCCACCAGCAGCCGGCTGGACGTGAAATCGTAAAGCAATTAATCAAAGCTGCTAAAAGGCCTGGCTGACAAGAGCAGGGCTGGCCAGACTATCTGTCAATGTTGCTGTGTTTATCATGGAAATCCAGCAGGGGCCGGGAGGCTGTCCAAGGGCAGGAGTTGGGAGAGCTCTGCCTGGGCGCTCCTGCTTTCTCGCTCTCTTCGTCTCTCTCTGTCTCTGTCTCTTTCTGCCACATGCTTTTCCCAAGAAAAAGAAACAGCTCACTTGAAAGAGTCTCTCCATGATCACCTTAGCTTCTGGCGGGTCCCAGACAGTTACTGAACACTTTGCTCTGTTATCCCTGTCCTCTAGGACCTACTTGGGTGGCTCTGTAGAGGATGGACAATGACATGACACCACACACACAAACAAACAAACAAACACGCACGCACGCACGCACGCACGAGTACACAGATGGGGTGCTTCTGCCAGGGTTTTCTGTGACAGAGGCAAATGAAATTACTAACAAGATGGTTTTCAAAGTGCCGACACTCCTAGATGAGATCCCTGCCTATAGGTATCAGGTGGACTTAATCTCTTGGTACTGTCTACGAGCTGGGTGGGGTGTGGGAGCGCCTACCATTCTAAGCAGCTACTAGGATCTTTTACACATGTGAAAAGAAAAGCAAACTGCTCCTCCATCAGTCACCATGCTGCAATCCTAGAGCAGTGGTTCTTAAGCTGTGGGTCGGGACCTCTACAGGGGTCACATATCACATATCCTGTATACCAGCTATTAACATTCTAAGTCATAACAGTAGCAAAATTACAATTATAAAGTAGCAATGAAATAACGTTGCAGTTGGGGGTCATGAGAGCATGAGGAACTGTATGCATTAAAGGACTGCAGTGTCAGGAGGACTTAGAACCACTGACCTAGAGGCTGAAGCAAGAGGCTCACAAGGTAGAGGCAGCATGGGTAACTGATCGCAAACTAAAACCAAAACCCTTCACTTCTCCTACCATCCAATCATCTGAAAGACATGGATACCAGAGAGTATATCTTAAAAGAGGTCAGATACTCCCAAGTAGGGGGAACTACAAGTCCTGGGGCCGGTGCTAGTAACACTCACTCCAGCTCCCAAGGACACATAAGCAGAGCCTGAGATCTGCTGGTGGAAACAGGCCAAGACACATTCCCTGTAAGAAGAAATGGGGGGAGGGGGAAGGACATGACTCTGGGGAAAAGACATCTTATGCTGTCAAATGAACACTAAAGGGAAACACAAAAGCCAGTAAGTCCTGCTGGCAGCAAAGTCCAGCTCAGTGCTCCCAGGGAGGCTAGTCAAGACAAGGTGGTCCCATGGCCTACTCTGCCCACTCCCTGCTGGGTGTCAGGAAGGAAGGCACTATGCAGGCAAGAAAGAGGCTTTTCACCCAATGTTCTAAACAGCCCCCAAATGTTTAGGAGCAACTAACAAACCAATCTCTATTTCCCTCCACAAGCTGTATGCAACTGCTCCAAGGCTCCCATGCTGTCCACAAAGACTCAGTGCCCAAACCCACTGAGGGAAAGGATGTCTCCTGTCAGAAGCACTCTGCAGCAGGCATGAGCATGAGTGTTCGTGACTTATCTAGGACCAAGTTCATCAAAGTCCATAACAAGCACTGAAGGCTCACACCTTCCCCAGCCTCTCTCCAATAGCCTTGGGGGGGGGGTGTGTGTGTGTCCTAATTTCCAGATTACAACTCAAACATGTGCTTTGCCTCCATTATGACAAGCCAAGACAGTGAGCCCAGAGACACTTTGAATATAGGCTTTTCCTCCCTTGAGCAGCTGCAGGAGACAGAAAAAGCTGCCTCTTACCTTTACCTATCACGAGGCCGCATTTATCAGCTGGCACTGTGTATGTGACCTCCTGGACACCACCAGGAGTGCCCACACTCCAGTCGCCGCGGCCTCGGCCTCTTCCTCTTGCTACCGCGAGGCCTCCAAGGATCTCTCTTTCCTGGCAAGGGAAAATGGTGACAGTGAGGCTTTTGCCATCAGCACACTCATCCTTCCTGGTGAGCAGGTGAAATAATGACAGCATATATCTAACACTACACACCTGACCCTCAACGTTTCAGACTCAGAAGCTCGCATTCAGAATACAAGCAATTTGGTATAAAAAGTCACGTAAAAACATCCACATAGCATCTACATACCTGCCTATAACAGGAAGTCAAAAACTCTGGGCTGAAGCCTGGGACCTTTTGCATTTTCATTACAAGGGCCCTCAAGATTAGACTTTACTTGAAGCCAAGGCTAACTCTTGTTGGTCTGTTGGAGCGGATAATAGATGCTCAAGAGCTACCAGCATCTGAAAGTGACCTAACTCTCCAACAAGGCTACTTACTACAGAAGACAACCCAGTCACTGCACTGTGAGCTAAAACATTCTGTTCTCAGACCAGCAGAAAGGATTACGGGACTTAAAAAAAAAGTTTCTTGGGCTGGTGAGATGGCTCAGTGGGTTAAGACCGCTGCTGTCCTGATTTTGATCCCTGAGACTTGCTCACCTGGTGGAAGGAGAGATCCAAATCCTGCAAGTCGTCCTTCGACTTCCACACACAGGCCATTGCATGTGAACATGCACATATAATGACAAGTATACACAATAAAAATACATATTTAACAAAAAAAGCAGTTTTATCACCAAGAAGGCATAGAGAGATGCTCAAGAGTAACTTCTTAGAAAGGGTGGACTGTAGCAGAAGGCCTGTATTAAAAAGCCAGTCTGTCTTTAAGACCAAGGAGCAAAGGGACCTAGAAAGCCCAACTGGGTGTGTCTGGGAAACATGAGTCGCTCTAATGGAGGAGTCCTTCTATTCCATGCAAAGGCAGCAGGCCTCATCCCTCTTCCGTGCTTGGCCAACTTAGAGTCTGGAGCAGCTCTGCACAATGAACAAGTCCCTGCCGACTATGGACAACTACACACTCACCTAGAAGCTAAGCCAGCACAATGCTAAGCTAACTAGATGAGAAGACTGAAGGGTGAACAAGGTTCTCTGAGGGTTTCTGGTCAGGCTCTGACATGAGCAGCTGCAATGCTGGATATGACGGACAGATGGTTCTTCAGCTGCCAAACTTACAAAGGAAAGGTATTAACTATGTTCAACCCTAGAAAAACCACCTGGACTCTGGTTAAAAACCAAGCCCCAACCTGTGTACTTCTACCCAAGTGATCAGGAACTGAACAGGAGGCACACATTTACAATGAGACTGCTGGTGGGAGCCATACCAGACACAGTGCCTGGTCAAAGCCCTTGGTGTGCTGCTGCCAAGACAGGCAGAAACCCTGTTGTCACCTCAGAACTTGTCAGAAGTCATGGGCTAATGGAGGAACAGGCAATACAATTTCCACTATGCTATCCAGGCCTTTGGCTCTAGTTCCTGGCATGTGCTCACTCCTGCACACCTGGAGGATGTGGCAATCTGCACTATTTGCATGGCCTCCCTATCCCAAGTTTACAGATGCTAATGATGCCATACAAACTCACATTCTAAAAGCAAGCTTGGAACCAAGTAGAAGAGCAGGACTAGGACTAGTAGACTCCCAATCCCAATACTTGGGAGGCTGAGGCAGGAGATCAATGTAAGTTCGAGGCTAGCCTGTACTACAGAGCCAGGGTCTGTACCAAAATGCTCCCACACCATCAACAACAAAACTCAACTGTATGAAGACATGGTATTACAGGGACAGACTAAGTCCTGCTGTGCTTCCTGGATTCCATTCCAGTGGTTTTATATCAAATATACCTGACTACTGGTAGTGGGCACTCTGCTTGGTATTTGTCCTGTCAGGCACGTGCAACTTTTCCACAGAGACACAATCATCTACAAAACTCATGCTTCAGACCCGCAGAAGTGGGACTAGAGAGACATCCAGTGGTTAAGAGCACTTGAAGAGGATCCAGGTTCATTTTTTAGCGCTCATGCCAGGTGGCTCACACCAACCTGTTAACTCCGGTTGCATGGGATCCAACACTCTCTTATGGCCTCTATGGGTACTGCATACACGTTGTACATATACATACAAGCAAACATACACACAAAGCAAATATAACTACCCAAGCAAAACAAAAAGTTAAATAAAAACGAATTTAAAAATGTACATTAAGCTTGTAATTTTGTGTTGGGCTATAATTATAGGTGGCATGCATATAGCCTACGAGCCACAGACCAGACATAGCTGCCCCTAAGAAAACCCAGGGTATGTGACGTGACTCAATGGGCAAGGGTGCTTGCCACTGAACCTAACAACTGAAGCTGATCCTCAAGAGGAGCACAATGGAGTCTCTAGAGAATTGATTGGCACATTCATGCCATACCTTGTATGCACCATACATACATGTACACTGCACACACATGAAGTAAATGTGAAGTAAAAACCTAGACTCTGTGTGATAAATGCAGGGGTAACAAACCAGTAAGGAAAAGCGCACAGGCAGGAGAAGGCAGATATAGAGAAGCTTCTGGGCTCTAATTAGGGGCCTGAGCAGCCAGGGCACCAAGGTGCTGCTGGGTGGCTTGCCTATGGTGCACTGTCTGTTTCTAGGTGGGTTCATCGAGTCAGAGTGCTGGACCCACCTGTGCCGTGAGGATGAGCTCATTGATGATTCGAGCTGCATGCTGACACCGATCTGGAGGGCCCATGACCTGCGCTGCTCTTTCTGGACTAATCCCATCGTCTGTGGAATCAGATGAGACAGGGTAAAGACAAGTCCAAGGGCAAGGATGCAAAGAGAGTGTCACAGTCTAAACTCTGAGTGTGATGAGGACTGTGAGTGTGTCTTCACATGCTTCAGGGTGACACCCGATCATTGTCATGTATAGATGACACAACACTTGGGAGACTGAGGTAGGACAACACCGAGCTCAAGGCCGTCTCAGCAACAGTCAGATCTTTGCCTTCCATGAAAGATGTTTGCCTTTCTTTGTGACAGTAAACTGTCTGATTAAATAAAATCTAAATGGGGTATTTTGTAAAGAAATCTTTACTTCGCAAAATTACAAACTGAAAATGCCATATTAAAATCTTCATTTCTGGGCGGTGGTGGCGCACGCCTTTAATCCCAGCACTTGGGAGGCAGAGGCAGGCAGATTTCTCAGTTCGAGGCCAGCCTGGTCTACAGAGTGAGTTCCAGGACAGCCAGGGCTACACGGAGAAACCCTGTCTCGAAAAGCCAAAAAAAAAAAAAAAAAAAAAAATCTTCATTTCTTGGGGGAAGGGGGCTAGAAACCACAGGCCAGAAAGAAAACCAAGTCAGTATACAACCAAGGAAAGACACAATGACCGGGAGCAAACAGAGACTGCCAAAGAGAAAGAGAAAGAGAAAATGCACACATGGTTAACACAGTCCACGTCTAGGGCTACACCAAACCAACCTGGTTTGAACTGGATCCTCACGCCAGCGTCATTCTGGATCTTCTTAATCATCTCTCCGTTTCTTCCTATGACAATCCCAACAACAAATCTGGGCACAGACACCTGGACAGGGAGACATAACCCATCAGAGCTTGTGCACAAGTGGCTTTGTAAACATCGAATCCATCTTAACTCTGTGTGTATGTGGCACACGAGTACAGGTGCCCTCAGCGACAGTGGATGCCCTAGGGCTTGAACTACAGGTAGCTGTGAGCTGTCATGTGGGTACTGGCATCTGAACCCAGTTCTTCTGGCAAGAGCAGCCACTGCTACTAACTGCTAAGTCCTTGGCCTTTTCTTTTAATAGGGAAAATTTTAAAATAAGTGACTTTGCTTTTATTATAGTGTAATTCCAAAATTAAAATAATAAGGCTGTTTCCCTTTAGAGTAATTCTGTGACTAATAATTATCTTGCTCACGACTGTATGAAGTATAAAATTGGACTAAAAAGGGTTATAAAAATAAGGGAACTCCTACAGAGAAAAGATTTAAAATGATCATTTTTATCTCCCAAGTTCTGTGAAATGCGTACAAATACATCATGCTGGCTATCTCTCCCTGTGGTCTCCTGTAGTCATCTATTCTCTAACTGAAAAGCTGTGGTACAATGCACAAGCCACAGCATCAGCCGCTGGCATGCTGCTGTGGAGCAACCAGCAGCACCAACTAGACTCAGGAGCCACTGGTCACCACAGAAACTGCACCACTGAACACTAATACTGCTTGCTTCTTGCTTCTACTGTGCTCTCTGCACGACTCTGCCTCATCCAAAGTAGCCACTGTAAATCTGGCTCACTGCACCAGGTGTGATATTTGTACACTGTGGCAGAAATTAAAATTGCAGGACAGATTTTGATACCAATTCATCTCATCAATAAGACAATATTATAGATTTGATACAACTACAATATATTATCATTGAGAAAACTTGGATTTTGGCCCCCACCTGGACGTCAAGTAAACCTTTAAAGCAAACCTGAAAAGCAGAGGCGAGACCTGCCCAGTAATGCAGCTGGCTCTCCATGCTTGGTCCCTCTTCACGTCCCTGAGCAGTATGACCAGTGACTTTAGTGCCCCTCTTCCGCTTTTGAGACAGGGTCGTATCAATATGTAGCCCTAAGTGGCTTGGGGCTTGTTCTGTAAACCAGGCTGGCTCTGAACTCAACCTTGTTTGCCCTCTGACCTGTGAGTCCAGCTTACCTCTATACTACCTCCTCCCGCTCGGGAGGTGAAATCGCTGCGCACGCCCCGGAAGTCAGCCTGATCTTTCTCTCGGATGATCTCCAGGACCATTTCTCTTGCTTGCTGTACAAAGAGAAACAAAAGGCACCAATGGGGGAAACCCTGGAAAGACAGCAGCATGAAATGCCAGGATCATGACCACTGGGACCCAAGACCGTGGAGGTATTCAGCTGCTGGCAAGGACGAGAGCTCTTAGAGGCATGTCTTCATCTGGCTCTGCCTCTGTCTCTAAGGTTCACACTGATACACCCACTCACTTTACTTGCAGTTAGGTCAACACAGGTAAGGAAGGTGTGGTAGAAAAATCCCTTCCAGTGGCCTCAAGAGTTCTGGTGGAGGCTCCCTTGAAGTCAGAGGACAGGGAAGACAGGCCACAGACACAGCTCCTGCCCTCAGAACTCTTAGATCTTGACTTTTTACACCTGAGTGCCAGGAGCAGAGCCTAGGAGCTTGTACAACCCTAGGCTTGTGGTGTATGAGCAAGCCACAGCCCAGGTCAGCTCAACTGCAGCAGTTATTGAGTTCTGGTGAAGATGGCCTCGCAGACTGGAAAGTATGAGGTGGATCCACTGTCTCTTCCCACAAGGGATGTGCCTCTACTTACACTGTTTTTAATAAAATAATGGGCTTAGTGCTGTTCACTCTGCCCAGGACTTTAGGTTTAGTGTTAGCACTACAAAAGGAAAGAACTGAAGAACTTAAAAATCAATTATTTCCCTGCAAATTTATGAAGAGAGGTCAATAAAATACAGGCATTTCCCTGAGAGAGACCCCCCCCCCCCTTTTTTTGGGTTTTTTGAGACAGGATTTCTCTGTGTAGTTCTGGCTGTCCTGGAACTCACTGTAGACCAGGCTGGCCTCGAACTCAGAAATCTGCCTGCCTCTGTCTCCCAAGTGCTGGGATTAAAGGCATGTGTCACCACTGCCCGGCGAGAGACCCCTTCTAAGAAGCTGGGGACATAAGTGTTTGTAGACCGGTTTTACCACACACAAAGCCACAGGCTCAACCCCTAGCACTGTGTAAACTGTGATCCATTGGCTCGCACCTGAAACTGACTGATGAGCAAAAACCAAGATGCAATCTGGCTGTGTACTTATGTTTGTGTTGATATGTGGAAGCCTGAGGAGTTGTACACCTTGTATTTATTTATTTATTTATTTATTTATTTATTTTTAAGATTTATTGACTTTATGTATGTGAGCACACTGTAGCTGTCTTCAGACACACCAGAAGAAGGCATCAGATCCCATTACAGATGGTTCTGAGCCACCATGTGGTTGCTGGGAATTGAACTCAGAACCTCTGGAAGAACAGCCAGTGCTCTTAACCAGTGAGCCATCTCTCTAGCACCTGTATATCTTGACTTTTCAGAGGGCCTCTCGCTGGCCTAGAGGTTTCCAAGAAGGCTAGGCTAGGCTGCCTGACCAGAGACCTCTAGGGATCCACCTATCTCTGCTGTTCCAGAGCAGAGAATAACAAGTGTGTCATTCATACCCAGCTTCTCTTTTCTTTAAGTATGTTTTGGGGACTGGACTCAAGTCCTCATGCTTGCTTGCCAGGCAGTCACTTTAGCCATTAAGTTATCTTCCCAGCCCAGTAATCTCATTTTAAGGATGGCTGGCAGTTCTGGGGAGGAAGGGCACTGGGAGCAGCTGGCCTGAAGGGAGAGGGGAGCTAAAGTATCGCTGGCCCTCCACCCAGCTCTCAGCAGCACCGCTCTTTTGTGCCATCAGTGAGAGCAGCCCAAGGAGGGAAAGTCAACCAGAGGCCAACTTCACTGGGTCAAAGTGCAGTACTTTTCTTTTAGTTGCTGTTTTTGTTTTTCAAGACAAAGTTTCTCTGTGTAGCACTGGCTGTCCTGGAACTGAGAGATCCACCTGCCTCTGTCTCCTGAGTGCTGGGATTAAAGGTATGCACCCCTGCTCCCCAAGCCCAATGCTCTTAAAGATGCATGACAAGTTAGGTGTTTTAAGAAGAAACAAGCTGCAGATGACAGAACACTGGAATTTCACCAACATCTTATACCCACAGACACTTGCATTTCTGGACCAGGACAAGCGACTAGCAGCCACAGGCTCATCTTTCAACTCAGAAAGCTGCACTGATGGCAAACATGTGTCTGGGCTCTAGCCCTTGTTTTCATCTGTACCCCGACCTGGCCCGGGTTTAAGCTGACCACAGCCCAGCAAGACTAACAGTATACCTAATCTGGGTTACCCAAGATCATCGGAAATGTGAACACCAGTGCATGCACTGCCTGAAGCAGTGGCCTGTTACGTGGCCACACTCAGCCAGTGGCTTTGGCACTGGGCACAGCTAGACACACTTTATCTCCATCATATTTTCCCCAAAGATGCACCACCAAGTGTTGACAACCACTTGGCTCAGATCAGCATTTCTCAACATGCGGGTCACAACATGCCTCTTCCCAAGGAGAAATAACCCTTTCATAGGGGTTGCCTAAGACCACTGGAAAACATAAATATTTACATTACGATTCAGAACAGTAGTAAAACTACATTTATGAAGTAGTAACAAAAATAACTCTATGGTTGGGGTCACCACAATATGAGGAACTGTATTAAAGGGTGGCACTATTAGGAAGGTTGAGAACCACTAGGTTAGACAAAGCTGACCCATGAGTTCCCTCCTACCTGCACTTTAAACAGATCTCCAGTGATGCGGAGAGGCTTGTCTGCTCCTGTAGGCAGCGGGCCGTCCTGGATCATGACCATTTTCACACCTGTCCGCTCCTGAAGGGGAACATGCAATCATACAGCTCTCAGTGTCATAGGGGAACTGCACGATGCCTCCAGAAGCAGACTGGGCTGGTTCATCGTAAAGTCTATGTCCTCCCTCCCACAGGGAAGATTCTCATCTGGACCCAGGCTGGCTTGTGGGAACACTGACAGACATAAGACAAAAGCTCAGTGTGCTCATCCTCTATTCACGTCTGCAGAGTCTAAGCTCTAGGACACGGCTCCTACTGAGTGCTACACACTAACGTGTGTTCTGATCATTGTTAGGCAATGACAACACGTGCCCACCATGAGATCAAGTGCTGCCCCACTCCCATCCCAAACTACCCAGGGGCTCAGGGCTAAGTGGTTGAAATGTGTGTTCTGTGATACCAAGTCCTAAGCTTTCACAATTTACCCTAGGTTGTGGAGGGCCTTCTACAATCTGAGGCCTGAGGTATGACACATAGGCCATCACCTGCGAAAGCCACAACGTTTTGAAGTCTGCTTAAAACTGAACTCGAGGAGTACTGGCATTCTTGGGTCAGTGTAACTATTGTCTGTCTGTCTGGGAACATATATACTGCCTTAGCTGGATGTTCAATCTCAAACATTCTGTCATATTTGGTTTTGTTTTTTTCCAGGCAGGGTTTATCTATTTGATCCTGGCTGTCCTGGAACTAGCTCTGTAGATCAGGGTGGTTCCAAACTCAGAAATCTGCCTGCCTTTGCCTCCCTTGGCGCTGGGATTAAAGGCGTGCGCCACCACCACCCAGCTTTCAAACATCTTGATTAGAGCTACCTCAGATAAAGGGCTCTGCAACTAAGAGCTGCCTCCTCACTGTGACTCATGGGAATTAGGGACTAGGTATCTGTCCAGCTCTGAGTATAGTGAGGCCATCACCACCCTCTTCTATAGACAAGAACCCCGAGTCCCTGAAAAGTAATGAGCACTTGAGGCTTTTTTACCTTGAGGTCTTTTAATGTAGCCCAGGTTAGTTTAGAACTCACATAGAGCCACCTGCTTCTGCCTCGGAGTGCTGCTGGGATGCTGACGAAGGCCTGTGTCACAGCTAGGCTTTTGAAGTTGTTTGCACAGTTTTTAAAGATAAAGTCTTGCTATATATTGGCCAGGCTAGCCTCTAATATATAATCTTCCCACCTTAGCTTCCTAAGTGCTAAGACTCCAGGCCTGTGCCACCTATTAATGAACCTAGCTATTAATGTGCCTAGCTATTAATGGACCCCCTCCCGCTCAAGCTAGGGTCTCATGTAGCCAAGGATGCCCTCAAACTCTTGAACTCCTGATCCTCCTGCCCTCAGCCCAGGTGTGAAATTCCAGGTATGTGACCCCAGTCTGTCTAAGTGAGCGTGCTTAAGAGCACAGAGTCAATAGTAACAAGAAGCAGATTTCAGGAGCGCTGACTCTAGGCTGTCCCATGGTGTCTCTCCTGCCCCAGACACTTAGCCCGTCAAAAAAGGAGAGGAGAGGAGAGGTCTGTAAGGGAGCCATGGCTCTAGAGTGTGCAAGGGCATCCCAGCTCGGCACCACATGGTGCTCACACACCTGCAATTGCTTGATTGTTTCCCCTCCTTTGCCGATGACCAGCCCCACTTTAGACGCAGGGATAAGAAGCTCCTGGATTGTGCTGTTGCCATCTATATCGTTGTGAAAGCCAGGCCCATTTCGACATCGGTCCACAATCTGCCCCAGGAGCCGTTTGGCTTGTCTTTGGGAGGGAGAAAAATCACAAGAGAGCCAGCATTAAATGGATGTTTAAGACGTTCTGGGAAAGGAGATGGTGCCAGGGAAAACACAAAGGAGTCAAGGCAGCCCTCCATCCAGCTCCAGCTCCTGCCTCATAACCTGGGCAGTCTGAGCCATCCGCCATGCTACAGAACTGCAATTCAAAAGCAACACACAGCACAGCACAGCACTAGTTCCCACGTGGAGTCTCAGGAAGCCGGCACTGTCAGACCCCATTCCCTGATGTCTGCCCTCTGCACCTGCTTGCATCTTCACAGTGCCCTGCCTCCTACTTGCAATGTCAGCAGCTCTGTTTTGTCCTCTGTCCACCTCTGCTCCCCAATCCGGCACAACCCTTCCAGGGAGACACTCAGCACACTTGTTAGCAAGGGTGGGAAGAGAAGGAGCGGTGAGAGATGGAGAAAGCAAGGGTTAGTAGCCACGCTTCAGCTCCTCAGCTCCAACGTCCCTGCTGCCAGCAACACTGCTTTAGGACTCCCCGCTAAGCCCGTATCTCCAGTGTGGTTCAGGATAGGAGGGGCAGCGTCCTGCTGCAGCTGTACTCCAGGGAGCACCTGACTATCTGTCTTCATTTCTGCAATGTGACCACAGAACAACCCAGCCTACAATGTCACATGTTGGGCCAGTTTCCTTTTCTGCACCAGAATCGTCCCTGGCTGTTATTTGCGGAATTTACTCTTTAAGTTATCACAGCTTTTGTTTTTGTTGTTATTCTAAGAGAAACAGAGTCATCAACCAGACAGGCTGTCTGTGCTGGAGAGAGAGCTTCCTCCTAGAGCTTAATTCTCAAGCTGGAGCTCCTTGGGTAGACACAAAGTAGGTGCGTTTAGAGGAGTAGGAAGGACGAGCCATCTTTTGCAGTCTTGAGCCTTTGTGTGCAGAATCATCTTACGGGCTCAGCTGCAGCAGCTTTTTAGTATTTTGCTAGTGTACTAGATTAACCTGTGCTGGAAAAAAATGCTGTGACTTCAGCAAACCATCCAGCTTGCCCTATAATGCACACCTGCCAGTGGTATTTATTCTGGTTCATCGCTTGCAATGTTACAGCAGAACAAGAGAATTTAAACCCATCTAGGCTCCCTGAGAAATGGAAACAATAAAACAACCCTACCTATTGAGCTAGACATAATCTCAGCTCTTCCATTCCCTAGCCAAACACTACTGTACAGACTGAACGGAGATAGCGAACCACTCCAGCCCGCACAGTCCTCCTCCCCAGGAGGTACTTGGGTTTATGAGCTCTGTGTTTGGTATAGGGCTATAAGCAAGCATGTATCAGGACAGGGAATCAAGACAAATTATCAGGGCTCTTCCCAACGGCCTCCAAAGCCAAGGCACCTGCTGGCTGGTTCATAGGGCTCTGTGAGTGGAACAAAGACCACAGAGAGTGGATTCACTTAGTCCACAAATATCTGAAGGGTAAGCAGATCAATCGGCCCAGGAAAAAGGCCTGGCGCCCAGTTTTTTGAAGCTCACCAAGTGATCAAGTCCTCTGACCCAGGCCTGTTCACGTATGGGAGGTGTTAACAACGAGGTTGCTGATTAGCGTGCTTAGTCAGGATGAGTGTCCACTGCTCAGTCCCTGGTTTATGGAGAGATCGTGGCAGCTAGGAGGCACCCTAGGCTTGTGTGTTTGAGGTTAACAGAAGAGCTCTCCTGCTGTGGTAACCTCCCAGGCCTTCTCCTACTGGAGGTGTGCTGTGGGCAGATTCAGCACAGATCAACAGGCTGCAGTAACAGTTTTGGCCTTCTATTTCTCCTCACTTGGGGAAGGAGGAAGAAGAAGTGAAAGGAAAAGTAAATAAAACAAACTTACTCAATACTTTCTGGGGTTCCGGTAAGTACACAGGGCCTCTCTGGAATCCCAGAACTCTCTATAAGAAGAATCAAGAAGATGAGGTGTGTTGGTGGGCATCAGGCAGCCATGTGCCTTTGCCTCTGTGTAGACTGTCTCTCTGGGGCTGGTTCCTACACCACCCCCACAGAAGCACAGTCTCCCAAAAAGACCAGTTTGCTTTGCTGGGGGACAGAACTTCAGTTCTCAACATAGAGACTGAGTCCCACGAGGGAGCCAGCAGGACACAGCAGAGCTCTGTGAGTTGGTCCTCATCACCAAGCCCCCACTCACTCTGACTTGCCAGAGGCTCCTTAGCACCCCAGTCCCTCCATCGTGTTTCCCTCACTCTGTGAGCAGAGTACTTCCATAGTCACCAGCCTGCAGACTGCTCTGAGGTGTACTTAAGGATTTCACAAACACATCAAGATTATAGCATTTATTGTATCCATATCCCAAGAAATTGGCAGCAAGGATGTGCTACTGGTCCCTGTGTCATTTGACATGAGAGAAAACCCTTTGTTTCCAACACCCATATGTTTTAGACTGATCCTAAAAACTCCTTAAAAATCCTTTCTCAAAACACTGAGAGAGGGAACTAGTATCTGCTCAGCCTATGTATATGAGGCTGTTTTCAGTCCCCGACACTTTAAAAATGAACAAACAAAATCCTCAAGACAAATAGCTAGCAGTCATTATTGCTTTCAAGACACTGAAGTGAGTATAGTATAAATGTCAAACTACAGAAATGTCTCCAGACTCCCTCCTCTCAAATGGAAACAAGACACACTCAGATGACATTATAAAACTACAACTAAAACCAAACTGTTCTGTAATCAGTGTCTTTCAACGTCAAATGATCAAACGGAAAGAATGTCTGAGGAGTCCAGAAAGATGTCTGAAGAGTGCTGATAGGTGTCTGAGCCCACTCAGCCAGGAGCCCTACTGTCCTCCCCACAAAGTGGAAGGATGGTCTTGTACAGGGAAGCTGGGTGCAGGCCCCACTATGCCTGGCATCACATTCTGGTGCAGAAACTATAGGTCTTCGCCCAGCCGGCAGGTGTTACGAAGAGGTCACACTGGCCAGAGTTGAGTGCTGCCCTAGAAGTCGGTGTGAACCTCATCTCCAGGCTGGCTTTTGCTTTGGTGCTCACGTGGGGTCCAACTCCAGAAGTGCAAAACAGACAGCAATTACACATACTTACCCTAGCTTCTAACCAAAAGCAAAGACACAGATTCTGGAAACTGCTGTGTAACACTGATTTCTACTAAACAAATTGATGAGAAAAGCAGCCCTTACCTGAGGCAATTTGAATTTTGCACCCAGATTCTGCTTGAATTCGTGAAATCTGCTCACCTCCCCTGCCAATAACTGCAATGAAATGAGCAGCGTGAGAACGTGCCTCCCTTTCCACACTTACACATACACGGATAGCTCAATTATCGCAGCAAACATGTACACTGTGCTCACAGCTCACTGTAAGCTGACCTCTGCCGAGCCCGTCTCAGCTCATAGGCGTCACAGCAACAGAAGCTACATGTGACACACAGCAGGTAACTACTTCAGCTGTGGCAAGCACTGCTAGGGGGCCAGGTACTGACACATTCCCCCTAGCCTGCTACCTCAGGTAACATGCTCATTAAAGAGTATAACAGACAAGAGGTAAGGGATACTTACTAAATCCAACCATTTTATCAGGGACTTTGAATTCTTCTGTTATTACTGTCCTAAAAACAAAGAAAAAGACAGAATCCAAACTTCTGCAACCACCTTAGATCCCCAAGATGAAAGCTGAAATCATTTGTGCTGATTTGGCCCTCCCCAAGCACCCAGAGAACATCATTTTGGGGCCCCTTTGGTCAAGCATTCCTTGGGAACCCCAAAGCCTTCATCTCTGGCCAAAGAAGAAACATCTAGATCCTTAAACCAACTTCTTCCCTAGCTGCCTTTTCTACAGATGGCTATGGTAGTGGCAGAGCCTTACAGATGGGGCATCAAGCCCAGGACAGTTACAGATCTGCTAGGGTACGGAAGGACCTTCAAGACATTTAGTAAGGTACGAGCTCTAGATAAAAACAGCCAATGTTTTTGATGTCCTGATCTCTCTGTTTCCTGGCCTCCCTCCAATATACCTGTGTCTTTTAAGGTAGAATGTGCTCAGGAAAACCAGCACCCTGCAGAGCCTCATCAGTGCTGGCCAGGACAGCACAATCGCCTCACTCGTGCTGTGAGAGACTTTTGTTAAATACTATCCTGTCCATTAGGTCCCTTCAAACAACAACAACAACAACAACAAAAGAGTCCATGGCTCTTTCAAACAAACTTTAAAATGTAGCATGCAGTGTATTGTGGAGAATATCCAATTGCCCAGCACCACAGAAAGCAATTAAATCTAAACATTTATCTTAGGGGATGCTAAATACAAGTAGTCTTTTAAAAAAAAAAATCAAACAACAACAACAACAAAAACTTTAAAAAAAGCATACGTTTTTAAGGCTCTCTCACACAGCTGGATTTTTACCCATCATGGAGAGGATCGAACACAGTCCATTTTCAGGGGAGTGAAGCACTTACAAGAAATGCAACAGCATAAACAGCACTGCTACCATGTCACCACAACTAGAGCTGTCCTCAGCCTGCACACAGGGATTTTCCCCCACTTCTCTCCCTATCTGGAGCAATCAAAGCATTCACCCAATTCTAACAGGGCCAATACCTGGCACCCACCAGCCCTCAAGGCCCAACAACCCTTGGAAGAAGCCAGGCCTGCCAGGATGTGCTTCAGCACAGCTGTCAGGGGTCAGCACCCTGTACATGAGGTTGAGAGCTGGGTCTGCTTATGAATGGGTAATGTCAGGACTTATCAGCCCCCCACCCCCACCCCCGTGTAGGGTGATTATGTAGCATGATTGCTGACAGTCCTAAGCTCATCCCCAGCACTGAAAATAAAACCAACCGCAACAAGAGCCCTAAAACAACGACATACACAACGGAGAATACCACAGGCTGGCCAGTTCCCCAGCACTCATAAATGACTATCAATCTCAATCTCCAGCTTCCCTTCAACCCTCCTCTATGTGCCTCTGGCTGGCCAGGGACTTCCTACGTAGGCCAGACTAGCCTTGGACCCAAACATTCCATCTATGCCTCACAAGTGCATCGATAAAATCTGGTACCACACCCAGCTCAAAGGACCTATTCTGAAGGAAAGGCAGAAACTGGTCTAAGGCACTAAGAATAGGCACCCTGGAAAAGCAACATGCGAATTACAGCTTAACAGGAAATACTTACCAGCATTTCATACTAATAACCTCACGTAAGTTATTTTAACTCATTAAACAAATGAAACAATGAAACAAGAAAATCAGGCTAAACCTTCCACTTAACTGACTGTTGGTGACGTTAACAGACTCACAGCATTTTGTGTATAACAGAGAGGGCAGAGCTGTGCCACTTGCAGAGCAGACTAAGGACACTAACTGACAGTTACAGTCTCTGCAGAAGAGAAGCACCACAGTCCCCTGAGCACTTTCCCCCTTCCCATGGGTGATGCTATGACCAGATACTCTTATCTTACAGATGGACCTTTTGAAAGCATAAGGTCTTTGTACCTAAATCCTCAACTTAATGGAGGGTTACGGGGGAAAGAGAGACTGAGAAGAAACTAGGCACTTAGCCAAGATTTTCCCAACAAATCCTCAATCCCAGGCACATCCTGCTTCTGAAGCCCCAGAAACTGTTCACCCAAGAACTGCATTCTCCTCTGTGAAGAGGCTGAAGATCTGAGGCACTGGGAGATTCACAGAATCAGCAGGACAATGCAGACCCTCCTTTCAAATTTAATCTACAGTGGAAGAGAGCAACTCTTCCATTGTGAAAGTCTCTTGAGGCTCAACAGGGGCTGGTTTAGTGCCTCGGATCAGTCTGTTCCTCTGGCCTACACTGTTCTGGAGAGAGCTGGCAGAAACCATGGGTGTTAAGAAAATCTAGCCCCTGGCTTCCCACACTTCCAACCTCTGACTTGCTAACACTCCAGTGCAGATGGTGGATCAATAAACAATTAGAAATGATCAATAAATAATAAAACATAACCCACTGCTTACCTTTGATGTACCAAGGCCCCTAACTGGTTACCTACTGTGGCAAAGAGAAAGAGAAAAGAAAAATCAAAGCATTAGCACGGATAAACTAACTCCATCCTTACCAGCATTCTTACTGTTCAGAGGGTGGGAGGGAGGCAGAAAGAAAGCAAACAGTAATTTAGGCTCAGTGGCTGAAATGAATGCGTTATGTGATATGAAACAGGAGGGGACATCTTGCTCAACAGTCTAACCCAGTGTCCAGCTGAATGAAGGATAAGAAATTGATCTGTATGTCCACATGCTGAGAGCCCTACGAGGGAAGCCTGTCTGTCTAAATCCTGCCCTTTCCCTCCTGCTTGGCATCCAAACTCAAGGTAGATACTTGGGACCTTCCTGCTCCTTTAAAACCAGATGAGCAGATTTACCTCTGTGGAAGCACTGCAGAGGACTGCTCCAAGGCAGCTGTAGTTACTAAGGACACGCACATATGTCCCTCTTCTGTCATCCCTCACCCCACCCACAACAGTACAGAGACCAGGTTCTGCCCTCCTGCCACAGCTTCTCTAGCCCATTTCAGAATTGAGTGGCAACAAACAGCCTCTCAGTATCAGAACAGACTCTGCAATTCCATTTCCAGAGTGGCTCTGTCAGGCTCCCTGATCCAGTTTCTGTCTCTCAGCTATTGATGTGCCCCTTCTTCACCCGCCATCAGCAGACATGGTTCTGTGCTGTTTCTCTTCTGGAAAATGCAGTTCAAGAAATATAGTCAGCAGACAAAGGGAGACTATACACCCAAACCGACAGTAAGGAACTGAATGGACCTTCCAAGATGCGAAAAGAACATTCAGAAGTACGTCTCTGGGGAAAGCAGATAAGTGTCAATCACACCTATGCTGAAAAAGTGAAGGCTTAAGAGCTGCTGCTTCCTGTCCAGCTACCCTGCCATCTTCTGGACAGTGGAGGGCCATAAAGAGACGAAGGAAAGCAAACCAGACCCTGAAACTCTGAAAGGAGAAAATGCAGAGAAACAGTACAGCAAAAAGTAAACTACAGAGTTCACTGAAGCTATTGATCCAGGAAAAAAAAACCACACCATCTTCCATCTGGATCAATAGCAAGATGATGGTCTGCAGCCAAAGCACAGACACTGTTCACTGCTAGTCGCTTATCTCATGGAGAGAGTTGTTTTTAATTGACCCTTAGAACTTTCTCTGCCCTTACCCAGGGCTGGATTCGCACGAAACCTGGACACTCTCCAGATTAGGAAAGGAATCCCCATCATGGGCTCTGCCTAAGAACTGTCCACTACCAAGGAAGGGGACAAAACAACACACCAAAGAAAGGGGCAAGGGCAGAGGCTTATGGGGCTGCACAGCTGATCTACCCTTGTCATTCCAGCACTCAAAGGCTGAGCCAGCCTCAGTTAAATATATACAGATTTCAAGGGCAGCCTGGGCTATGAGCCTGTCTCAACAGTTTACCTTCCCTGATTTCCATCAGAATCCCTCTACTAGAGGATGAAGAGTCCGCTGAATACAGAAGAACTAAACACCTGCAAGTAAATAAGGTCCTCAGTGAGAGCTACATGGCAGACTACAGACCTCTGGCTCAGAGACAACAGGATGACGGTCTTCCGTTAAGACAGAGAAGCCACAGGAACACAGTAAAGGGCAACTTGGCAACAAAGAACCATGTGAGACTCACCGGAACATTCCAGGGCTTCTGTTTAAACAGCATTCAATGACAGCCTGTGCTCACAACTGAAGTTCCTTTTTGTTGGCAAGGTACATGTCATGGGCCTCACAGCTGGTATTATTCTAACTGACTCTCTGACACGTGCAGGCGTTCACAAACACTAGAACCAAACCTGCATATACCATTACTCCCAGATACACAGCCTTTAATGGCCATGGCACCAAAGGAGAATACCAGATTCCACTAAGTAAATGCTCAGCCTCAGGTAAGCTGAGAAGCTCAAAATCTCTCCCCTCTCCACACAAGCATAACACAGAGCTATGTGTGTGGGTCCATGCATCTATCTTACTGGGCACCTAAAAACGAAGCCAGCAGTGAGAAAGACGTTGGGCACTGTCCATGCAACGGTCACACTAAGGAGGCACACAGGACATTACCATCTCCCTTTCTGAGTTCCCTAGCACAGTCCCAGCACCTGGCACACACAGAATAATGATTCTCACTGACCCTAAGCAGCACACAGTGGAAACTGCCTGGGATGCTGGGGGGGAATCAACTTCTCAGACATGAGGGAGCGGACAAGAAGTTCTTGCTGAGGAAAGCTGTTGCTAGTTTCAGAAATAATCTAAAAAAAAAAAAAAAAAAAGTAGCCGGGTGGTGGTGGCGCACACCTTTAATCCCAGCACTTGGGAGGCAGAGGCAGGCGGATTTCTGAGTTTGAGAGTTTGAGGCTAGCCTGGTCTACAGAGTGAGTTCCAGGACAGCCAGGGCTACACAAAGAAACCCTGTCTCAAAAACCAAAAAAAAAAGGGCTGGAGAGATGGCTCAGTGGTTAAGAGCACTGACTGCTCTTCCAGAGGTCCTGAGTTCAAATCCCAGCAACCACATGGTGGCTCACAACCATCTTTAATGAGATCTGATGCCCTCTTCTGGTGTGTCTGAAGACAGCTACAGTGTACTCATAAATGAAATAAATAAATCTTTAAAAAAAAAAGAAAAAAAAAAAAAAAACCAAAAAAAAAAAAAAAAAAAGTATGGTGCCTAGTATACCCCTTTCTTGTTTTTCTTTCTGCAAAAAATTACTAACAAAGTATTACTAGACAATAGACCTAACTTTATAACAATTTTAATAATCATCTGTCTCTTCCCCCTACCCCAGGTGCTTTGGGCAGATTCCAGAGTGCAGCCCCACCAGGAAGAGAAATGGCAGGACTTTTATACTCAGCAAAACTAAAACCAATTTCCTCCTCAGTTTTTGTTTTAAGTCTGTCTTGTGTACAAGAGCACCTTTCCGTGCAGCGGGGGCTTTGTGGAGGTTGGGAAGACGACTTGAGGTCACCACTGGAGTACACAGCTGTATCCTCCAGGCTAACAGACCTTCATGCCCTGGGAATGCTGGGACTAGACACTGCACACAACCCGGCTTTATATGGCTCTGGGGAGCAGACTTGAGGCTCTGTTATCACAGCAGGTGCTTTGCCAACCCAGCCCTCCTTTCAGATTCTCAGTCTTCCCTGTGGCCTCCCTTTGGCTGTGTCTTCTGAATATAACCAGCCCTCTCCCAGTCTCAGTTAAGACCAGTGATACTCAGGTGGTTAAGGCTTCCTATGTCCCACGCAGCCAACTCTTGCTTCGGGCCAGCATTCCTTTGCTGAATCCAGCTGGAAGGTCTTGGGCAAGTAATCTGTTACTGATTTTGCCAATTATTTTTTGTTTGTCTTATTATTTTTGAGACAAGGTCTCTCTCTACAGTCCTGGCTGTCCTGGAACTCACTGTGTAGACCAGGCAGATCTTGAACTCACAGAGATCTGTCTGCCTGTCTCCCTAGTGCTGGAATTAAAGATGTGTGCCACCATGGCTGGCCTCCAATTACTTACTTTTGAGAGCTGAGAGAAGGGAGGTGACGACAGGAGAACTGAGGGTTCCAGGCCTGCCTGGTGCGTTTAGTGATACGCTCAACAAAGACAGAATAGGCAACTACCTCATAGCTTCTTATTACTGAGCCTGCCTTCTTTCCTGAGTCCTAACTCAACCAGTGTAGGTTCTACCAAGCCCTCAATCCCTTCTTCGGATCCTGACCAAATCCCAAGCATGCTTGTCCTGACCCTCAGGCTTCTCCTTCTTTTTCCAAAGACACCCTCACACCCCCATACAACATCTGAGTTTTTTTCTGAATCCCAACTAAAAAGGCACAGTGCTTTCTTCCTCTTCCACATCTTCCTCCTAGCAGTTGTGAGAATTACAACCTACATGTCCTGCAGTTTCTCTCAGACTGGAATAAACTGGTCTGCAATCTTCAAACAAACAAACAAACAAAAAAAACAAGTGAAAATGAGTTAGAAATATGCTAGCTAGACCATTACTTTGGAGGTTAAAGAAAGAGGTTTGAAGCTATCATTATAAGGTGCAAGTTCAAGTTTGTTTCAGTGTCACTCCTGCTTGCCCATGAGCAGAAAAGACCAGCAGCAGCAGCTACATGAGGCACTGCCTGCTTTCCCATTACCAGGCTGTCATTAGCAGCCTTCCAGAGCAGAGCACAGGACACTGCACACTCATCCAAGCTGCCTGGATCCACATGGACTCTACTGTTTATCCTGGCACTTTCAGATCATTGCTTAGAAGGTGCTGAGGATGAAACCCAGACTCTCCTGAACACTAGGCCAGTATATGACCACTGAGCTGCACCTCCACCTGTAATAACAATTCTGTTATTCCTCATCCATCACATCAGGCCATTTGGATGCTCAAGTCCAGTGGGAACTAACTCAACTGCAGGGTCAAGGATGAATAAAAACCTGTGCCCCTTTCCCAGCGCACCCTTGAAGCCAAGACCTGACCCAAGAAACAACAGAGTAACAGTGAGTAAGCAGCAGTGGTTTGAGGCCACCACCACAGCACCCAGCTCTCTTAAGAACCAATGTACTGCATGGTGAAGGCTTATACTATGTGTGTTTTAATATGCATACTAACTAGTTCTGATGGACACAGAATTTAACTTACTCGTGATAGTTTTAAAAGTAGAAGCACTTCCTTTCTTTTTTGTGGCAGTGCTAGGGATTGAACCCAGGGCCTCAGCCTAGCTCTACTACTGAGTTACAGTCTCAGCCCTGAAGAATGCTTTGCTATGCCCTTCATAGACAATCTCATGATAGAGGTGTCATTAGCTACTGTCCATCCAGCTCCCCAGTGCTATTAAGGATGAGGTCTGTTTCTAGAAGGAAGTCACACCAACCTTGCAACTAACACCAATAGGAAAGTACCAGCTGAGCTGGGGGACTAGAGTCAGACACAGCAGAGAAGCAGCTCTTGAGCAGGCTAACAGCCAGGTCAAGAGGATCTGGACCTTTCTGGGGCTTAGGAGAGAACCCTAATAAGCTAGACAGCTCCAGGAGAGGCTATAGCTGCAGCACATACAAAAGTCTGACAGGAAAGGCACTGCTGCAGCTAAGAGCAGGGATTTCTGAATTGACAGAATGTCGGATGTCTTCCCAAAACTGGAGAACATGTGGGTAACAGCATTCACAAGTGAAGGGTTTGGAGTTTAGGAGCATGGTTAAGCGAGCTGGCTCACGGTAAAAAAGCACTTGCTATAAAGCCCAATGACCTGGACCTGATCCTTGAAACCCACAAATAAGTGTTAAGAAGAATGTTCTGACCTCCATGCACACCCACACTCAGGCCACACATACAGTAAGTGTGATGTGTGTGACTGCTGGAGCTCCATGTACCCGATTCCCACCTCGGCCTCAAAAAGACTAAGACTGGGGAAGAGCACTGAGGCAGGCCCAGTGAACTGAGCGGATAGCCTTCTGTTAGACCGAGCAGGCTAAAGAAGCCATCTCTGAAGCTGGAGAGATGACTCAGAAGTTCAGAGCACTAGCTCCTTTTCTAGAGGACCGAAGTACAATTCTCAGCACCCATGTGATAGCTCACAGCTATCTGTAACTCTAGTTCCAGGGGATCTGATATCCTCACATAGACATACATGTAAAACACTAATGTACATTAAAAAAAAAAAGCCATCTCAGAGAGTGCTCACAACTCTAACTCCCCAGCGTGTACAGACCTGTTTTCTGTACACAAACTTCTGACTGCTCTGCCCTACATATGGTTAGTGCTCTCTCTCCTTCCCTCCCTCTCTCCCCCACCTCTTCTACATGGGACACAGCTCCCAGATCTAGCACAATGTCCTCATTCCCAGTGAATAAGTGAGAAGACAGGGCTGAGACCAAGGATGGGCCCAATTTCCAGTGTTCTTGCTCAGCTCAACAAAAATCCCAAGTTCCATACCTGGAGACCTATGGAGGAGAAAAGTAATTTTGGTAAGTTATCTACCAAAGGTTTCTTTGATCAAACTGTGGCACACAGTGAGAGCACCAAGGGTACAGCTGGTTGTTATGAGACCAGTGTGCAGTGGTACGGGAGACCCAGAAGGATGTAGTCAGGCACTCACTAAGAAAGCATGCTGTGAAAAGGAAGGGAAAGGGAGCTACACTCTGTCTACACTCTGGTCTGTCCTCAAAGACCTATTCACCAGGCAGATTACAGCAAGTGTGTAATCACAAAAAGAAGTAAACAAGGCAGCCATGGCAACTTGGGAAGTAGAGACAGCAGATAGGAATGAGTGTATCCCTGGTTATATAGCAATTTGGAGGCCAGCATATGCTATACTCTCTCAAAAGAAAAGTATACCAGGCATGGTGGTAGTGCTTGCCTTTAACCCCAGCACTGAAGAAACAAAGGCAGGAGGATCTCTGTGTGTTCTCTGCCCATCTGTTCTACAAAGTGAGTTCCAGGACAGCGATCTCAAAAACAAGGCAAGCAAACAAACAAAAGAAGTGAAAAATATGCATTATAACAATGACTTGGGATTGAGATTCTGGGCTTCCTTTGTGATTCTGAGTTACTCGTATCTGCCTGTGCTCAGTGCTTTTTATTGATATATTTAAAATGTTTACCGACTTCTTTTAGACAAGAGAAAAGCATCTTAAAAGTGCCAGAGGGTTTCACTAGTGAATAATTAGGTATCCTCTATGCAAAAGATACCACTGCCCTCTTTTCACAGTGAATTTCATAGGCTGAATTGCTAGACAGAACTGGGTAAGTTGTAATGTGATTGATCATGGTTTCTGGGAACACTGGGCCAGAGAGATACCATCCATTAAGAAGATTTGTGCTTAGAGTCAGACAACTCCATTTTATTTTATATTGACATCCCACAGGAACAAAGGACAAAGCCCTGGAAAGGGAAAGAGGTTTCTCTGAGTCACTCTTTACTTGGGCAGAACTGCCCTTAACACACTTACCCAACCTAGGTCTAAGAAATCACTCAACAAAAACAGGGAGATCATAAGGTGAACTTAGCAGCAACAATTTAAAAATGTTTTTGTTTTTTTAACGTAGTTTATATACATTTGTTCATGTGTGCACAGATGCACCATGGAATTCAATTTGGCACTCAGGTCTCTCCTTCTATGGACTGACCTCAGGTCATCAGGTGCTGAACTATCTCCATAGTTCATAGATCATGAACAGTTTTTTAGACAGATGAGAAAGTTCACTCCTAAAAGAGTGTTGTCCCTATACTCAGAATCCAATTATTCTTTAAAAAAAAAAAAAAAATGAAATCAATGTATCAATAAATCTCAAGCCAGGTATGGTGGCTCATGCCTTTAATCCCAGCACTAGGGAGGCTGAGGCAGGTGGATCTCTAGGTGTGAGGCTGGCCTCCTCTACATAGTGAGTTCCAGGTTAGCCACTCAAATCAAACAAAAACCATGCACTCGGGCTGGAGAAATGGTTCAGTGGTTAAGAGCACTGGCTGCCGGGCTGGAGAGATGGCTCAGTGGTTAAGAGCACTGACTGCACTTCCAGAGGTCCTGAGTTCAAATCCCAGCAACCACATGGTGGCTCACAACCATCTGTAATGAGATCTGATGCCCTCTTCTGGTGTGTCTGAAGACAGCTACAGTGTATTCATATATAATAAAATAAATAAATCTTTAAAAAAAAAAAAAGAGCACTGGCTGCTCTAGAGATCTGGAATTCAACTCCTAGCATCTACATGGTGGCTGACGACTATCTAAAACTATAGTTATCTATAAGATCCAGTGCCCTCTTCTGGTGTCCATATGTACCTGAAGAGAAAACACACTCTCACACATTTTCTCCCTCCCTCCTTCCCCCCTCTCTTCCCCCTCTCCCTCCTCTCTCTCTCTCTCGCTCTCTCTCTCTCTCTCTCTCTCTCACACACACACACACACACACGCGCGCAAAACAAAATAAAACCAAAAAACATGTACCTTTTTGAAACAGAGATTACACAATACAATACAATACAATACAATACAATACACTAAACCTTGGTGGAGTTAAGTGGGGTTCCACTTAACAATACATCACCATCACAGAAGTATCTACACACAACTGGCTATGTACACAGACCAACAAAAAGGCAAGCAGAGAAGACATTGTCTAACCAACTGTATACAAACCAGAACGTTACTGAACTTCACCAACCCTCACAGCGTGTTCCTTAGCAGAAAGGACAAAACAAATATGAACTCTGCATAAACACCTGTGACTGACACAGGGCTAGGGAGCTAGTGACAGGTACTCTCAGTGTCCCCAAATTCCTTTAGAGATGGAGTTGGAAATATAAACCAACAAACTAATAAATTAATAAATTAAAATGGATGCTTCTAGAAAGTGTCTGTCAGTCATAAAAGTAGACAGAGACTATTAGGGAAGATGATGGATCAGAAATAGGAGAGGGAAATGGAAGGAAATAGGGTCAAGGTATGTAATGTGCAAACCTAAAAATGTCATCATGCAATCCAGCAGTGTATACAAATAGAACATGCTGATTTTTAGAAGATTAAAAAAATAAACCCAAGCCAGACACAAATGGGTTTGGTGAAGACCGGTAGACTGGAGGCCACCACTCCTCCCTGTCTTACAGGTCAAGTCAACCACACCCTCCTCAGGACCCGCACCAAATCTTAGCATTTCACAGAAGTACTAACTTCAACTCCTATGCAAGTGCCAGAGGGACTGAGAACTAAATCCAACACAATTCTCAAATGGGTCAAATTACTGCCAAGTGGACGCTAAGGCCAAGTCTTTATCGTGGAGCCCAGCTGAAAAAATTCTTCTATTATCAAGGCAAATAGGAACTCAAATGCCAGCCAATTGCTGAGAGAAATCATCCTAACTGCATCCCCCGTCACCATTCCTCTAAGAATGGGATGCTGGAGAACTGCTCAGAAATGGCTGACACAGATTCAAAATAACTGGCAGGTTCACTGCCATCAAAAAGGAGAGTCGTTTACAGTAACTTACCTCCATCATCCAGAGGCCGCTTCTGTACTCCATATCCGTACACGGAGGGGTCCACCAGGGGTGTGGAATTATTCAAGTGAGGAATTGAATCTATTTTAGCAGCAATCTACAGAGAGAATCAAATTTAAATACTTGGTAGCAAGTCGTAGTTGTGTCCCTGGAGAAAAGATAGCATCTTCTTTAAGGGGCTGCTACCCCATTTCTCCCACTTACATCAGCATAAGCCACTTTCTCTGGTAGGCAAACACTTTTCCTGTTAAGTTTTCTTTGGTCTTGCCTCTTTCAAAATTAACTGCCCAGATGCTGTCTTTTAACAATTTAATTCAAGGGAGAGGAGGTATACATGAAGGACAGCCTACTGTAGCTGGTCCAGTGTTCAAACTCATGTCACCTCGACCTGCTAGACCATGTCATCAACCCCCTAAGAAAGCCAGTTTCAGTCACCTAATATATACACATCCCACATCTTTCAGAGTTCTCTGAGTAACTCATGGGGTCTTGCTAATTTTAGACAAGGTCCTACTGTGTACCCAAACTCTTGCAGAGTTCAGTTGCCAGTACTTATGTCATGTGGCTCACAATGGCCTGCAACTCCAACTCTAAAAAATTTAAGCCTCTCTTTTGGTTTTGATGGATACACACACACTCATATAGATATATAAATAAATGTAACAAAACCAAATATTTTAAAACATTAATTTTAAAATAACCCGGAAAGAAGTAAAGGGGTCCAAACAGCGAGTACCCTGAAAATAAACAGGACCTAACTACAAGTCTGTACTGTAGGCAGACTACTTTCATTCCCTCTGGAAGATGCCTTCTGGATTCCAGATTTTTGTTTGCTTAAGACAATGTCTGCCTCTGCCTTCCAAGTACTGGGACTAAAGGTATGCACCACTCTGCCCAGCCTCTTTCCTTATCCGTTGGTCTTAAAAGTGGCTGGAATGTCATTTTCCAACATCTGCTAAGTTATGAGTGTTATGATAGTTTCCTACTGCCAATTCTATTGAATCAACAAATATCCTTCTAAACTATAGCGGGTTTCTGTACTTGTTCTAAATTTACAATTGTTTTGGTTGTCTTTAATTTGAGAAACTGCCACTGAGAATAGCATAGAATATATGTGGTGGCCTGAATAAGAATGGCCCCCAGAGGCTCATATAGTTGAATGCTTGGTTCTCCAGGGCATGGCACTATTTGAAAGGATTAGGGGATGTGGCCTTGTTTGAGTAGGTATGTCACTGTTGGAGGAAATGTGTCACTGAGAGTAGGCTTTGAATTTCCTTTTTTTGTTTTTGTTTCTTTTGTTTTTTTGAGACAGGGTTTCTCTATGTAGCCCTGGCTATCCTGGAACTTGCTCTATAGACCAGGCTGGCTTTGAACTCAAGAGATCTGTGGGCCTCTGGGGTTAAAGGCTTTGGCCCAGCTGGCTCTGAGTTTTCAAAAACCCATGCTAGGTCCAATCTCAATCAATCAATCAATCAATCAATCAATCAATCTCTCTCTCTCTCTCTCTCTCTCTCTCTTTCCCTCTCTCTCTCTCTTCTCTCTCCTCTCTCTCCCTCCCTCTCTCTCCTTCTCTCTGTTCATGGATCAAAATTTAGCTCTCAACTACTTCTCTAGCACCACACTGCCATGCTCCTCACCATAATAATGGACTAAACCTGAAATTGTAAGCAAGGCCTCAATTAAATGCTTTCTTTTATGAATTGCCTTGGTCACATTGTCTCTTCACAGCAATTGAACAGTAACTAAGACAATATATGTCTATAGTTTATGTAGTATAGGATAATAGTCATATAGAGTACAGCTATGTATGGTGGTTCATGTTTATAATCCCAGGACAGGAAGGCTGAAGTAAAAGGATTGCTGTTGAGTTCTGTCTCAAAACAAGTAAGCAAATAAAAACTGATTGGATGGACAGCAGGTAAGAGCCCTTACTGATCTTACAGAGGACTTGCTTGGTTCCCAGCACTTATGTTACAAACACCTAGGGATCTAACACCTCTCTGCTTTGAGGGTACTTCCAGTATGTACACAAATGCACACAGACACACATGTATATACATCATTAACATTAAACCTTTAGGCTGGGCTGTAGTGACACATGCCTTTAATCCAGCCCTTGGGAGGCAGAAGCAGGAGGATCTCTGTGAGTTCTAGGACAACATTACAAAGAGAAACCAGACCTCAGAAATAAGTAAGTACATAGGTAGATAGATCTTTACAACAAAATCACAGATCAAAACAGGAGGATTCCAAACTCAAGGCCAACTTGGACTATGTAAGAGACCTTGAGTCCAAAGACAAAACCAAAACAAAAAAACAACCAACATGCATGCATGCATATACTTTAGTGCTGGGGATCAAACCCAGGGCTTGAACTTGAATCATGGCTACACAAATGTTATAAGAATTCAACATTATAATACGCCACTTATAGTGTATATTTTTATTATAGGGCACATTTTATTACGTTTGTGGTAGTTTGAATAGGTATGACCCCCAAAGACTCACATGTTTGAATGCTTGGCTATAGGGAGTGGCACTACTAGTAGGTGTGGCCTTGTTGAAAGAAGTGTGCCACTAGAAAGGTGGGCTTGGTGGTTGGTCATATATGCTCAAAATCACATTTCGACTCACAGCTATGTCCAGTATGACACAGTCCCCTTCTGCTGCCTGCTGATCAAGATGTGGAATTCTCAGCTCCTTCTGCAGCACTATGTCTACCAGCATGCTGCCATGCTTCTCGTCATAATGATAATGGACTACACTTCTGAAACTGTAGACCAGCCCCAACTAAATGTTTTCCTTTATAAGTGTTGCCGTGGTCATGTTGTCTTTTCACAGCAATAAAACCCTAAGACAGAAGCTGGTACCAAGAATGGGGTACTGCTGTAAAAGGCCTGACCATGCTTTTCGTTTGGAGGAATGTAGATTTGGAGACTTTGGATTTAGAAAGCCATAGAATGCTTTATGTAGGGCTTAATGGGCCATCCTAGCAGGAACACGGAAGACAGGTGACTTGAACTGTAGGAGCCTGGCTCAAGAAGTTTCAAGAGAAGAATTTTAGTCTGTTGCCTAGAGACCATTATCATGATATTTTGGTGAAACATATGGCTGCTTTTTGTCCTTGTCTAAAGAGTCGTCTAAGGCTAAAGAGATTTAATTTAATAGAATTGGCGAAGAAAATCTCAAAACACTCTAGTATAGACTCTGTCGTGTGGTTCACTTATGGAGAACATTTTGATGAAATAAAGTAAGCCGAGCAAGGAAAAATACAAAATGTATGGCTCAAAGGGGCACCAGGATGTGGAATGGAGCTAAATCCAGTGTTCAAGGAGATGCACAGATTAAAGATATTAAATGGAATTAAGGGAGTGGTGACATTAAGGCAAGTTCTCACCCTGCTAAACTTCCATCTTGTGAAGAGGAATTAAAGCTTAGGTCCAGACATGGCTTCACTCGATTTTAATCCTACCACTCAGAAGACAGAGGCATGAAGATCTCCAAATTCAAGGGCAGTCTGGTCTACAGAGCAATTTCCATAACAGCCAAGCTTAGGTATTGAAGGGAACCATACAAAGCAGAAAGCTAGTGAAGATATAATTGAACAAGGGGTCCATGTTCTAGCCCCAGCAAACAGAACTTGGTTCAGAGCTTCAGCCACATGGTTCTGGCTTTAGAATCAAGAATAGATGAAAAGAGTTACAGAATCTCCCTCCACAACTGAGTAAAGTTACTGAGCTCAGGTATGTGGCAGGGTGCCCCTGCATGAGGCCCAGAGAGGCCATCATATGAAGCTCTCTCTTAAAGTAAAGCCTGGATTGCCTTGGAAACCCCAAGAGGTTTGAGATGTCAGAGCCATGGGATCTCAGAGCCTCAGGTATGCTGAGGAGAGTTGCTAACAGGGAGAGGAACCAACCCAAGAAAAACAAGTATGTCACAGTCAACAAAGCTGAAAGGAGTTGAAGAACTGAAGAACATTTTGACATCATACATGAAGATAGAGTTTAGAGTTTGTCCAGTTGGTTTTCAGTCACCATAATGTATACCCAGTGCTGTTATATGTTGGAAGTATATGATCTGTTCCTTTTTATTTTATAGGGGATTACAATTAAGAGATTGCATGAATCTCAGACGAGACTATGAACTTTGGAATTCTAAACACTGTCGAGACTGTTACTGACGATGGGAACAATATTACAGCATAAAAACAATGAATTCATCATTGGGATGCAACCTTGTAGGCCTGCAGTAGTACCCCATGCCTTTAATCCCAGCATTTAAATACTAGGAATAGGTTATATCTAATCACGTTTTTGGTACAAGGGGCCCCATAATAATCATCAAACAAGTCACGCTATTGTGGAGGCTATTGGTTGCTCTCCACAAACTGATGGTAAGGCCCTATTACTGAACACCTACACAATCCATTGAATACAGAGAAGTCAAACTGGTGCCTATCTAGAGTCTTCACCCCTACAGACTTGCGTTCAAAATACTGGAAGCTCCTCTACACACTACCTAAAGAGAAAGGCACAAAACCTTCAGCCTGCAACGATGACCTGCCTGCCAAAATGTACAATGTCACAAAGCCCGTGGGAGTAAGCAACTATCTGGCTTGATTTAAGGTCCACTCCATGAGATGGAATCCATAGCCAGCAGGTACTACTTAGGTGACGGAAGAACTGGGTGAGATTAGCTAGGCTACGGGAGGCAGAGGCAGGCAGATCTCTGTTGAATTTGATACCAACCTGGTCTACAGAGTAAGTTCCAGGATGGTCAAGGCCACAGAGAAACCCTGTCTCAAAAATCAACAACAAAACCAACCCCCCCAAAGCAACCTTTGTTCCAGGAATGCCTCTTTTATATAATAAAACAAGAAACACTGAATATTTTCTTACTTATTTCTTCCATCCAGCCTCTAGGGCAGTAATTCTCAACCTCAATGCTGCAACCCTTTAATATACATAGTTCCTCATGGTGTTACAGTGATGCCAATTATAAAATTATTTTGTTGCTACTTCATAACTGCAATTTGCTACCATTATAAATCATGGTGTAAATATCTGTGTTTTCCAATGGTCACCAGTGACCCCAGTG